TGTTTCGGCTTATTTTTTCAGCGAAGCGAACGGAGCCTATGTCTACATATAAATTCCTTCCATTATTTTTTATTATCTTTGGCCAACTATTTAAAAAAATTATTATAGCTTTACAACATATAAATTATATATTATGGAAGTATTTCTCATAGTGAAACTAAAAACATAAACCATATGACACAAATCTATGTAGTTTTAAAATCATTGGTCAAAGATACTAATGTTTGATTCAAGTGCATACTCTATAATGTTTGGGGAGCCGTCGAGGCGAAAGCATATGCCATCTTTAAGATGATACTAGGTAGCGTGCTCGTGTGTTGCTACCGGGACAACTAAATCTTTTGTACTAAAAATACACGGATCACACGATAAGATAACAATACTGTTAAATTAAATACCGATGTTAAATTGATATTTAATTTAAAAAGCAAAGTTCATGAAATTAACACAGTCACGGAGAGCACGACGTCGCAGGCTCACAAACTGTACTGTATAGACTTTTTCGTGATATGGCTATGATAATATTTTATATCGGGTAAAAAATTCTCTGATATCCATTTCTTTCATGCGTCAATAAATTCATGAATAAGTTCCGCTGCATCTCCATATAATCCTGTACATAGTTTTGAGTATATATGTAAATATTAGTGCCTGTCACATGAATAATACTACGTGTCTTAAAAAATCTCTCATAAATTTTTAAAACAAAGTATGTTGTACTCACCGTATAAATATGTGTGGCTTTAAGACTATTCCACACAGATATATATTGTAGAATAAGATATCCACTTGTGTCTGTTCCAAGATGTTGAATTAGGTGTTGTAATTCTTAATTTCGACACATTTTTTAGGTCAAGGCAACCAATTGTGACACTTTTCTTAGTGGTGTATAATTTTATGGTGCACCTCTTGACTATCTGAGTAAGGACATGTTAGCACTGTAAAGGCTCAGAAAAGCTGCTGAGAAGACCAATGTTGAGTTTTCCTCCACTATACATACTAAAACCTATGTCCCTGTTTATAATTGTCGATGCTTTTGATGCAGAGCAATTCAACATTACTATGATCAGATATAAGTTTGAATCTCTTGTAAGCAATCTCATAGAAGAACTCACATCCTTTATATGAGCTGCCTCAAGGATATTGGCAGGACGATGGACCTATGTTGGAATGTCGCACCAAAAAGTATCCATGTTTTGTCTACGATTTATTTCCCATGAATACATGCGGGTATTATGATAACACTAACTACACCAAATAAAAGATTAGAGAGAATTTATATTGCATCCAGAAGAATTTATTTATTAAGTTTTTTGGACTTTATAGGTAGTTTTAAAATATCTGTTTGTATGTCTTACCTCGTATCCTAATTCAAAATTTTATAGTTTAATTAGAATATTTAGGTGATTGTATATATATAATATTCAATACAAGAATAATCTATGCATGATCTTCTTAAAAAATTTCTGCAGTGTAAAGACATCTTTGTTTTTCATGCATGCCCGTGCTAACGCTACGGTAAAAACAAAAGGACAATATATCAATTAAAAAATAAAAACAAAACTCATGCTCAAAGTCAAAGAGATAAATTATGGATGCTTGAATTTTGTCATCCATTATCTACCAGTGTGCCTATAAAATAGACTGAATAAACAATTAAACGTAGATAGAAAACTAAATTAATGAAAGGATCATTACAAGACATCAATCATCTCATAGCTTCGGACAATATCGCAAAGCTACTAAAAACTGTAACCGTGCCCTCACCTCAAACATTGTCCAGATAAATGGATTACAATGAAAGAAATGGATATCGGAGATTTCTTTCTGCCAATATAAAACATTATCTTAGTCGCATCACGGAAATGTCTATAAAGTAGAGTTTATGAGTCTGCGACGCCGCGCACTCCGTGACTGTGTTAAATTCATAAAGTTTGCTGTTTGGATTAAATGTCACTTTAACGTTGTTATTTAATTTTTACAGTATTATTATCTTATCGTGCGATCCGTGTGTTTTTAGTATAAATTGTTAGTTATCCCGTAGCAACATACGGACACGCTACCTAGTTTAATTAAAAAGAAATGGTGTCTGGTGTCTACTATCGTGATGGATCATGGATTGAGGAACGGGGATATGGAAAAAGGATTCAAAATAAACAGACCCAAGGACAATTTCAGCAAGAAACAACAAGCGAGGGCGATGGAACACGTGAGCGTGAAACCAAATGAAAGGAGAAAAAAGTTGTTCCTTTTGCAAATGCAAAAAGAGGAAGTAATTAAATGTAGACAGATTTGGCAAGGTTCTCAGAAATACAAAGATGTTCCTTTTGTCTTAAGTATCTTTCCTTCTATGTTAATTCTCTTTTCTTTTGCTCGTTGCCATATATGCTGGTGCATACAAACATGCAATGTGTATATGGATAGCATAATAATTTTCTACTTCCTATTTTATCGTGATTCCTCTATCACATGACAGATAATATTCAATCAAGAAGAATAGCACGATCAATCAGTAATTAAGATTAACCTGTAATCAATGTGCATGCGGAAGATATCGTGGGATCGCAGGCGTGGGTAGATAGACGAACCAAAACAAATGTCGTATAAAAAAATATCCACACTTTATTCTTTTTAGTTATAGGAGAAGGAGATACATGGAGGAAAATCGTTTGAAGAATAATCATGGAGAGAACAATAAGGAGAAACATCATGGTGAAACTTTTTTAATACTAAAACATAAAGGGTATATATTTTTTTATGAAATGTTTCAAGGATAGAAACATCTAAGTAGGTCGATGTGTCAGGAGTTGGGGACCTCTACTTCATCCAGATCGCACAGTCTATAAAACATAGGTCGGATGACCGCCTTAACGATGTAGGGGCCTTCCCAGGGTGATGAAAGCTTATGCATCTCATTAGTCTTATGTTTTCTGCGGAGAACTAGGTCGCCAACCACGAAGAACATTCTTGGACATTACGGTTGTAGTACCTTCGCAGGCCTTCTAGTTATTTGGCCGTCCGAACATATGACCAGACGCTCTTCTTCTAAGCGATCAACATCAACAAGCCGAGCTTGGTCGGAGTTCTTTTCATCGTAGTGCTCCACCCTAGGTGCTTGGAAAGCGACATCAGCAGGTAACCAGGAAATAAGGGGAGAGGGTCCTTAGTCCTCAGACCATAGCCGGTAGGTAATATGACATAATAAAAAATAGAGAGAGTATTAAAAGTAGTGTATCTAAAAAACCTAAAACATTTATACAGCATGTTCGCTTGTTTGTTTCAGCCAGGACTTATTAGCTAGGGTACAATATTTTTCTCTCATAATAAATCAGTACTAGCCGGATTTATCAGCTCAGAAATCAACCTGCGAACATGCTGATAATTTACAACATAGAGTACTTACTTTGGCCCCGTTCGCTTGTCTTAAATTTGACTTATTCGACTTATTTTTTCAGTCGGAACAGTGTTTTTCTCTCACAACAATTCAGCCGGAACAGTGTTTTCAGCCAGTTTCAGCCAAAGTTCAGACCAGCGAACGGGGTGTTTGTTGTTCCGCTGTAATCTATAAAGATCTTTGTTTTCGGTGAACCAACTGTAGCCACACATTAACACTCGGTTTCCCTCACCCATCTACTATTGCAGTGCTGCCTCTATGTGTAAAAACACATAATTTTGTTGCAATATGCGCACATACATGGTTCATTATCCTTTAGGTTTTCAGAACCGCTGCTGAATGGTCATATACAAATTTTTTAATGCTTCTGTCACTACATCCAAACCAAAATGAATCTCCAAGAGTTTATCAAATTTTACTTGGCAAATCTTGTGATTTGTCAACTCCTAAAATTATATGTCAAGTAAAAAAACAATCCATCTCCAAGAGTTTGGCATTTTTGACTTGGTAAAATAAAAAAACCCGTTAACAAAACGAAGATGCCCGCTAAGCGAACGAAGAACCCCGCTAAACGAACTAAGAGCCCCGCTAAGAAACGAAGAGCCCCGGATGACAAGCCGTATAGGCGCGCGTATATTTGCGCGTGCGGAGGAAAGATTTACTAAGTTGCTATTGATGCCAAGTTGTTTTGCCAAACTGTTGAAGGCTATTTTTTCTTATTTTTCCAAAATTATATGGATGCCAAGTTAAGATAGCAAATTCTTGGAGATGCTCTTACGCATCTATCACTCTTGCAGTGGGTCTATTTGGTATAGCTTATAAGTTGTTTATGGTTAAAATAAGAAGGTGTTTGGTTTCTTTTTCTAAACTTTAGTCGTTGTTTCATTGAATGTTTGGATACATATATAAAGTATTAAATATAGACTAATTACGAAACTAATTGCATAGGTTACGACTAATTTGCGCGACGAATCTTTTAAGTCTAATTAGTCCATGATTTGACAATGTAGTGCTACAATATATGTGATGCTGATGGATTAATTAGGTTTAATAAATTCGTATCGTGGAGTCCTGATGAATTTGTAATTTATTTTTTTATTAATATTTGGATACTTCATATGACACCCTCATGTGACACCTTTCCAATTTTAACCGGATCAAACACCACTTGAACTAAAATCAATAGCCAAAACGTTACGCTTTTCAGCGCTGGCGACGCTTACTCCGATGGCTCCTATTTATATAAAAAACCGAAATTGGATCAGAGGAGTTTACTTTGACCGTCGTTTTTTAGCGCGGGGTTCCCAGAATAATAATAAAAAAAAACGCCGCAGCGGCGACGGCAGCGACGAATCACGAAACCCAGCGCTCCTCCTACCTCCGCCGCCTGCGACGCGACCCCATCGGAGCGCCGCCGCCGCCGCCACCACGACGGTAGGCAGGTTTTCTCCCGCCCCAAAGCTGTCGTGGCCCCACCGGCCCTTTCCAGCAGCGGCGTCGGCGCCCGCGATGGCCGGGACCAAATCCGGCCTAACCTCCATGGCCGGTGGCTTCTTCGGCCAAACCAGCTCCTCCGCCGTGTCTTCCTCCACGGCTTCTTCGGCGACTACGTCCGCTCCAAACTCGGGTCCTCCCGCGCCAAGGCCAAGACGCCGCTGCACCAGCCATCTGGGCCACTCCACGGCTTCTTCGGCGACCACGTCCGCTCCGCACTCGGGTCCTCCCGCGTCGAGGCCAAGACATCGCTCAGACCCGACGCTGCACCAGCCATCTGGGCCACTCGGAGACCCACATCGACGGCGCCCACCATGTGTTCATCGAAATACCCTCAAGGTAACCTATGTTACAGGGTCTGCTTTCCTGAGGATTTTTAGCTTATTTGAAACCTGACCATGTTGCTAAAGGATGTTACTTCACAATCACGTCATTGGACAGTGAATGCCCGAAAATTGTTATCCAATCAAGTGATCTCAGCCTGGGGTTCATCTTTCTTCATGGAGACATACACGCTGCTTTGCAGGTCCTGTTTATTTCACACCATCCCTTTTGTTCTATTTGTATTTGTATATGATTTCCCCTGTTGGATTTGGCCATGAAAGGTCAGATTCCGGAAAATTTGGATAAATGTCTCATGCCTCACTAGCCCCATGAATCTTCTTCTGAATGTGTTTCATTCTCTACTTGTCATAGACCTTGACTATGCTGTTCGCTCCTCATAATTAGCAATGGCAACAAAATATTATATGGCTGCCTAAAGCAAACTGAAAAGGATATGCCTCCTTGCAACTTCTGAGTATAAAGGTAAAACAACCACACCAGTTCCTTTATTTCAGACTTGCATTAATGTTTTATAGGTTTCAGGTTAATTATTTCCCCAAAAATAAACCATCATTGCAATATTATTTCATTCCCTGCTAGATGGGCACTGCCATTAGGTGCCATAATATCGGAAAATCATACCGAACCACAACAGCTTACTGTTCTTCTATTTTTGTTTACAAAAATCCCAGCTCAGCACCTCTTGGAAATAGTTATTTTGTGGTAACCAGCTATGAATAAGTACATGGGTACTGCCAACTACCAGTGGTCTGGTAGCTTTTTCAAATCCAGAATTTGTGCTTTTGTTATAATACTTCATCCATCAGTATTATTGCAAATCAAGAGTCTAGCAGTTCTTTGGTACATGAGGGCTTTTGCATGCCTAACCATCTCGTTGTCATTGTATTATTGACTTATTGTGCTTACGTTGATTATTTGAACCTGAAAAGCAATGAGAGGTTGATGTTTATAGGACAAAAGGACGATGGATCCAGTGACTGCATGGCAGTAAAGGTTAGCCCTTAACCTGCCGCAAAAACTTCATTCATGAACTTCTCTTGGTAACAAAGCTATCATGATTCTTTTGTGTTTTCATATTCTTTCAAATGTTTAGGTGAATGTCATTTTGCACATTTCACATATCTTTTCATGGTCATACATTTCTGTAGTGAGAACGCTTTGTAATCTATGGGATTTGTTACTTATGATGCCTGAACATATAGGTACATTTTAATGTTGTCAAGTAACACTGTTGATAAGGGTATATATCTTCAAAGTCTTAGAATTTTTACTCAACATGTTGAGTCTTAAGGATGTTTTTCCCCTTATAATGGTCCATGTTACATGCACTGTTTCTTTTTATACTGAAGCTTGCAGACCGCTGCATAGATACAGGCTATTAATAATCAATCAAGAAAACCGATACCTTCCAACCATGTTTCCTGGGGTCAAAGGAGTTCTCTTCGGAAACATAGAAGATAAAGACTGCAGGGTATTTAAACAGAATGGAATTCAAAGATTATATAACAATGTGAAGCTTATCAGTTAGGGGCATTTGATCCAACTCTTTCGGGATAATAAAATCGTATTATGTGTTTGAAGTCAAAGCAGGCTGTGGTTATTCATGTTTGTTCAAAGTCGTTACACTTGAGATTTCTTTGTGGGGGCTAAATCCGTTGTTATATACTGGCTGATCATCGCCGCAATCGATTTTTATGGCCATCGCTCATGCTGGTGAGCGCAAACAGCCAACTATCTAAATTTGGTTCTATTATCTCTGAACTATTAGTTCCTTTCTTTCTTTGCTCTACAAATTGTAGGCACGGTTTCCTCACCTCTTTATTTGTACTGCTCTGTTTTGGAATGAGGAACGTATCCGTGCCCGTAGTAGTCAACATATCCTCATGTAAGAGTTGCACAGGCTTTATGCAATGTCTAAATTGCGCCTTTTCCTATGATTCATGCTACTAAACAGCACCTTGCATATAGGCTAATAATATTTCCTCTAATAGTTATGCTTAGCCTAACCAAGTGTTGCCGCTGTACTAATTTCTTTCTAACAGCAGCTGTCTCTAATTATCTATTCTCTAATGTTTCTCTTTCTACTTCAGGTTTGATCCATACTGTATGCCATCCATGTAAGGATCGCAAAGCCTTTGTTCCCCTTCTACAGATCCCTTTTGTTCCATGATATATAATACGTGCTCCACATCTTATAAGGTAATAATTTTCCTTGTACAATTGTTCATGACATCATCCATAACTATTTTGTCAGTACAAGGCTGTTTTTAACCTCAAATCATTTATTCCATATGTTTTGGTGGCCTCATTTTAGGTATCTACATAGCAAGCAATCGTCCTTGAGTCAAGAGAGAACAAGACAGAGCCATCCGCCTTTTGGTCAGCTAACATGTAGCTTTAATATTTTGCCAGCTAGCTACGTTTGCCGTTGGCGAGACCAACATTGCTCCTACTATTGCAGTGCTGCCCCTATGTGTAAAAACACATAATTTTGTTGCAATATGTGCACATACATGGTTCATTGTCCTTTACGTTTTCAGACCCGCTGCTGAATGGCCATATACAAAAATTTTATGCTTCTGTCACTACATCCAAACAAAAATGAATCCAAGGCTGCTTCAAACCCATGACGATTCAAGAAGACAGCTCTCCACCATTTGTGATTCCTTCCTGAATTAAAAATAAGAAGACATTTGCAATAGTTCTCAAACGGCTTAAAAAGTTGGGTGTATATTTGTTGACCTTCTTCGATAGTTTTCAAAATTCCGCACTAGGCCTCATGAATCCTTCCACCCTAAATTAAAAATAAGAAGTAGGTTAACATCTAAGAGCATTTGCAATAGTTCTCAAAAAATCAATGAGTTTTCCAAACGGCTTAAAAAGTTGGGTGTATATTTGTTGACCTTCTTCGATAGTTTTCAAAATTCCGCTCCTAAAATATATAATACAATTTTGTATCATGAATCCTAGACTACTGTCAATCACCCTAACCGCTTTTATACTTTTTTTCGCTTGTATATTTACGTTCGGAACCTTGTCCAACTCTTTATTCTTCCCCCGCATCTTCTACCTTCAAATTGGCAGACCGATAGGCACGCGTATATTTCCGCGGCCAAATTTCCCAAGTGCAAAAGATTGGGAGTTAAGAGCAACTCCAAGAGACTCTCTATATCATATCATTCATAAATGCTAGGAATAGAGATTTTGGTGAAAAAACTACCCTCGAACAGCTTCTCCGAATGATCATCCAAATATAGCCATCTTCTATTCTGTTTTTTTTACTAGCCAAAAATAGAAGATGAGAATGACTTTTTAGAGTGCGCACGAGATATAAAAAAATTGTAAGAGAGTGAAAAGATATAGAAATCATTTTTTATGCGAATGACTCCAAATGATGATTTAGATAGTGAGATTTAAAAAGGCTCTTGAAGATGATATAAGGTAGGGAGTTGTTGGAGAGCAGTTTTTTATCTTACCCAAAAAAATCAAGATTGAGTGGGTTTTGGAAACTCTTGGAGATACTCTAAGGTCCTATTTAGGAGGGATACTCCTCCATAGTGGCTTTGGTTTCTAAAGTAATCTTATGCTCTAAGAGCATCTCTAAGAGTCTTTTAAAAATTTTCTCTCTAAATCATGAATTAGAGAGTCAATTGAGTAAAAAATCACTTTTTATATCTTTATATCTAGCTTTTTTATATCTGGTGTGCACTCTAAAGAGCCATCCTCGCTCTCCATGGCTAGCGAAAAATCTGAAATAAATGATGTCTATATTCGAAGAACCGATTAAAGAGGCCAATTAGAGTTTTTTCACCAACATCTCCATTCCAATAAATTAGAAATGATACAAAGAGACTCTTGGAGTTGCTCTAAGCTATTTCTCTTTCTTTTTTAAAAAATACACTAGAAAACCATAAACTCAGAGACAAGAGAAGCTCTTTGTGTTGAAGAATTTTGAAAACTACGCAGGTTGTGTTGAAAATGAAAACCTTTCACATTGAGTCAAACCATCACATCTGGAGGTCTTGTTTATTGGGCAACAAAACCTCATCAATTGTATTTCAATTATCTCTTGTATGAGAATGTAACTATAAATCCCACGCCCACCGCCATCATCGATCCACCTTAGTTCGGTCACCAATGGGAAGCCATGCCTACTTCACCGAAACCCAAAATCGTTTCTCATCGGGAGGCCTCACCCTCTTCCTCTACCTAGCCTTCTACCGGCGCTAGTATAGTGGAGATCTATCGGAACCTACATCAATTTTTACTTTTTTTAGAGCTTGTTTGGATGTCCATGTTTCAACTTAATCTATGTGAGTTGGGTGGGCTGATGTGGAATTTTAGTGGGCAAATCCTAGATCTATTTGATTTGGAAATATAGCGTTAGATTAGATTAGGAAGGCGATATCATCGGGGGCTGATATGCGCCGACCAGGGTGGCACCCAATCATGCGCCGACTAGAAATTAATAATGCTTACGGTCTGTTATAGAGGTCGAAAGACTATACTTGGGCCGTGTAAAAAAAAAGCAGGTCGCTAAGCAGCACGCATACAGGAAAAGCACATGCAGGTGAATACTTTTGCTCACATCATCCATATCGCGTTTCAAAGTTTTAAAAGTTCTATTTCTTAAACCAAATTTTAAATTTAAATTATGATTGCACAATGATGTTTCTTACAATAAATCCTTCAAAATAAGATCTCACTTTATATTTTAAAAAATATTAAATAATTTTTTTGATGAAGATATAATATTTTTTATTAAGCATATACGATGTTCTAGGCCCTCTAAAGACAAATGTTCTAAATTTTAAAAATAAAATATTTCAGGAGCATAATAAAATACATTATATAAGACAAATGTTCTTCTATTAAATCTCACTTAAAGATAATTACAAAACATCACAATTATGTAACAATTATGTAACGTGAACATAACAAAATACATGATAGGACATATATACACACTAC